TGTAACTGATTTGGTGCACTGAATTTGTAGAAGAAAGCATCACTCGTTAGTCATCTTTGTTAACTATTGGCGTCAGTAACAAGTCGCTGTTGGAAGAAGGTCAATCGTGATAAGCCACGGTCGTTTGAAGGACTTAGTTGTTTCCCATAAACTTGTTTTTTATATTTCATAGTTGTTGCTGTAGGCGGTGCTTCAATAAGAGTTGTCAAAGTTTACGGAAACGTTGTGCTTTCCGAGTAAGCTGCTGCCAATCAAACCTATTCGGTTTCATTTGAGAGTACTTTTGAATTACACCGGCAACGAAAAGCGGATTATTTTGTTAAAAAGAGAGAATCTTAGACGTGTCATTTATGTTGGGTTGTCGCTATTAAAGAGCTCTTAGTTTATTGGAAAACTGTTCTGAAAGATTTTTTAAAGTAGGCTGTAGCGGCTGTGGTGAGTGTGGGGCGTGTGTAAATCAGAAATTTTTGCTTTCTTGTGACTATCACTATTGGAACTGGAATTTTAGAAACCAGCATTTATTGTTTTTGCTGCAAGCACTTGTGCTGTCTAATCTCTCCATTAGTCCTTTACTTCTTACGAAAAAAATTTGCTCCAGTTCTTTACGTGTCACTTATCCCTTTTCTTTTTTTAAGTTTTTTATAAGCATCCTCTAGGTTTTTTGAAATGGTTTTGACCAAATATTTGCTCTGTTTTGCTGCAAAAAAATTGAAACTTTCTTGATTTTCGTGGCAAACTGAAGTAGATGTGAGGGAAAAATTTCTTGTTTTTTATTTACGCTAGTTGGATAAACACGTTTTAAGGTAGGCGGTAGCGGCTGCCGTGAGTGTGTTGGGGGTGGGGTGGGGAGGGGAAGGGTAGAAGACTTTTTTAAGCGAAAATATCGATGATATGTGCTAGTGAGTATGATTAATTGAATCTTGCGGTTCAGGAAGAAAATACGAATAATGTTTGCTCTGTTTACGCTTAAGTACAAAAATGTTTTTTTTTTTTTTAATCTTTAGGGGAACCGTGGTATATCTGGGTAGCCTTCTTTTTGAAGCAAAAATTTGTACTAATTAGGGATACATTATACCCCTTGTGATATGCCCTCATTAAGCTTATTTGTTAGAAATTAGTCATAATTTGAGTTGCCTTATGTTTTAAGAAATTATCTGAAGGCAAAAGGCTTCAGACCTTGTTCATTAAGGTTTCGCTTTCCGTCGCCTTAATGCATTCGCTGATTTTGTAGTTTTGAAAGCAATATGCGTTTTCTCTTTTCTTCCCAAAAAAAAAAAAATTTAATGCACTCAAGAAGAAATTGTACCGAATTTAACTTACATAAAAATAAGTCTGTTAGGCTGGTGGATACATTCAATGTATTTGTGACTGTCGCCTGGTCAAACGCCTAAGAACGCCTAATTTCTGTAAGTAGGTTACGTTCCAATACCAATTTTGATTACTACACTGCTGAGCGTTTCTTGGGCTTGATGCCCAAAGTTGTCCGTACTTTGCCTTTATTGGAATTTCCTGATATTGTAACTCACTTCCTTCTAGGTCTTTAGGAGAGGCTTTGGATCGTGAATAGTGCGTGGTATTTAGGATAAGTTTATCCTTTAATCCAAACAACCTTGCGTTTATCAAATAAGCCTTAAATGTTCTCCGCACTGAGCTGGAAATTTCCAACATACTCCAGAATCACAATTCGATGCTGTTTGTGAATGTTTCTAAAAGTGCTATTGGTGGACGTACAGCACTATTTTACCATGTAAAGTTTGCAGTGTAATTGTTTTAAGTTAACTAATGCTTAATTGGGAGCTAATAAAGTTATTGCGAATTTGTATGGTTGCAGTTGCAAGCCATAATTGATACCAAATCACATCAGATAATGTCAAAAAAAAAAAACAGCGTTGGCAAACTGTTGGACAGCCCATTAAAATGCCTTCCTCGTCCTTAATGGAATTAATCTTTGTAACAATGTTTTCTGGAAAGAAAAAAAAGTTAAGGACCACCATGGAGAATGAAGACGGCGTCAAACGTTCCTTTTAAAAATATTTACAAATTGGATAGGTACACTAATTTTCTATAGGCGCCGTTAGACTTGCACTTTAACTCGTTATGAGTGGAATTTACTTTTTTGATCATTAGATTTGCCGTGTCAATGACGTGAACTTTTAAATGCATAATTAGTTTTTTTTTTTTAATTCTGTCAAAAAATCACGTAACTACAATAAAAACAAAATTTCAAACAAACAAAAAAAAAAAAGTTTTAAATTTTTTATAAAAGATATTTCGTGCAAAATTTTTTGCTCTTTTTTTTTTTGTTTTTCAACAGAATTAAAAAAATAGATGTGCATTTAAAACTTCAGGACATGGCAGTTTAAAAGGAGACCAAAATTACAAGTCTGCAAAGATAGGCATTTCAGATAGCAACTTGGTAAAGTTTGCAATCTTGAGGTTGTGTAACTTGACGGTAAATTCACTTTTCCAGGTTTTTTTTCTTCGGCTTTTTTCACGCCACCCTAGACTGTACTAATTAACAAAATTTAAGAAAATTCTAAAACATATGTAGTCTTCACTACCATATATTGTAATATATAATATATATGACCGTAATAAGGACAGGACAACTGTCATATAAATTAATAAAAATCCAAAAATACCTAACAAGAGGAAAGAAAATAAATCAGAGTTTATTGATAGGCGGATATAACCGGTCAGTCCAACAGTATCCTATACACTTTGTGGAAGACGGCGCTCTTGTTGATTGACGGCCCCAGCGCGCTGATTGGCTAGTTGATTTTTTGAAGGAAAGTTGAGGAAGAGGACAGCGGCAATGAGAAGGGGACGGCAGCGGCGGCGTTGCCGTTAAAGAGGCCTGATAAGATAAGCGTCAGGATAAAAAAAAAATTTGAAAAAATTTAAAAATTATTTATAAAGGGGTTTTTCTTTCTGTATAATTTTCGTACAGGAGGCAAAAAAATATGAATCTTTTTTAAAAAATTTCAAATTACAGTTTTTTTTTTTTTTTCCAATTCCTGCTGGTAATTTTAGGAATAAATATACAAAAATGTAGACCTTTGTTCTTAGTTTCTTTACTGCAGTCTAAAATGAAGGATATGCAAAGAACAATCTGTAAAGTGCTGAAAATAATATTTAGCACAATTTGTATAGAGATGGGAAATGTTGTGTTTGCTGAGAGCTGTATTTTGATGAACCTCTGTAATTTTGGACGTAATATTACGTAGTAACCGTGTTTAAAATTAATGTTTTTTTACTGAAATAACGCACAAAGTATGCTGTTTTAAAATTGACAGCTTTCGACACTCTGTAATTGGAAAACCTTGGCTTCAATCCTTAACGAAGCAAAGATGTAGACGGTAGAGCCGTTCGTAGTAAAGTTCTAGATGTTTTATAATTTCCTCTTAGTTGTTTATTATTTATTTTTTAACTGTTTACAAATTCTAAGTGGTGATTTTGAAGCATTTTATGTTTTTTTGTTGATAAATGTGGCATTTTAAAACTTCTGCTTAGTAGTTGTTTGTGAATTTTATTTCCTGTTGTCCCACAAACCCTTTTTTGATCACTGTACTTTCTTGTCGTTCGGTTGTTCTTTGTTCTGCTGAATCAGTTTCCAGAGATTAACTGTTCATTAAATATAAAAATTTTTAGCTTGAGATTCTTGTCCC